TGATAGTGTTAGATAGATTTCAATTAAGAAATTGAATCTATACAAAAAATAGAATCAGAAAAAACACTGGCTATAAAACAAGAACGAACTTTAAACGTTAACTCGAACATTTTTCAAGACAAAAAAGGAGAGAGAATAAAACGACAAAATCAGCGAAAGAAGAATAAAGCGTCTGTTAGCATTTCGCTGATCGATATTGTCTGTGATGGATGTTGATCGCGTCCTTTCCACTTACTAAGACATCGATTTTGATTAATAGATCATTCTATCTTAATGTTGGTCATACTGATTGAGTCACTCTGCCCTTGGGTAATGTGCTTAGCTACCTTTCCCAACACACACGTACTTCCTATGAACGTTTGTCTGTTTATCGACATCTGACAGCAGATGAAAAACCGTTTCTGATCTTTCTCTCAAATTATCATACTGTGCGTCCCCGAAAAAGGACAGTCTATAACAGCGATTATTTTTTATTGCCTGAACGATAATTAAACACTTAATACATCTTATAATAATCAAATCATTAGATAGTTATGAGGTAGTGGATTAACAAACTGCTCAGTCACCTACTTTAAATATCACAAGTGACAAGACAGTTTTTTTTTTTTTCATATCTGACACAGGATCAAACTCAGTGAGAGGTGGTTCACGCCTTTTTCCATTTTTTTTTAATCTCACAAAGGATCCAAAAACTTTAGCCTTTTACCAGAGGTGGACTCTTATATGGATAAAGACAAAAGAAAAACGTATCTAAGCCTAAGCGTTTCGTTGTCTCAAGTACTTTATCAAGGCAAATGGAAGAATTTTATTTTTTTATAACAAGTATTTATATACAAGAGCAAATATATAATTAACACTATTTACATTGTTCGGACTGTTGTCTTGTTACATTCACGACATTTCCACCGTTGTACGCCCGGGCCTTCTTCAGGTGATATTTCTTGGAATTTTGAATCAGATCCTTTATTTAGTCCACAAGGGTAGATTTTTCTAATTCCACATGCCATACCTTTGGGTATCTCGGTTTTAGTTAATTCGTCTTGATAACTCTCCAAGTGTTTGTTTTCTCCGTTGAGGCCTGGGATTGAACTTCCAACTTTGGGTCAAGTCACTTTATAGGTCAATCAACCCAGACTTTTATTCACTGGGCCATGTTATTATATATTTATATATAAATTTCCTAGTTTGAGTCTAAAGGCATCAATCAGTTATTAGGCGATCTTTTAATACATGACTGAAGAGGTTGCCATTTCTTTCTGCAGTAGACTAGTTGTCATCCAAGTCTATAGAACCCGGTCTGTCCTGCTATTTATATAGGGAGAAAAAGAGGATTCATACCGTTCCCAAGGGTATTAGTACGTATTTGACTGGAATTCGAACTCGGCTCTCCGATTTCTCAATCCGAGTCGCTATCCGTTACTCCACCGTTATCCATCTCAGTTTTAGTTAATTCGTCTTGATAACTTTCCAAGCGTTTGTTTTCTCCATTGATTGAACTCCCAACTTTGGGCCAAGTCACTTTTTGGATCAATCAACCTAGGCTTTTATCCACTTTTTATATATATATATATAATTGATTAATTAATTGAAATTTTAATCCGGAAATATTTACTATAAATATTACAATAAAAGTTGTTTTAATGGATACACGTGTTTTAATCGACGCCCTTTTTTATTTACACCGTAATTAATATTTACTGAACTAGATTATCCACCGCTAAGTTAAGCAACGTCGAGCCTGTTCAGTACCTAGATGGGTGACTGTTTGGAAACACCAGTTGATGTTCGGTTGGTGTAATGGATAATGGTTTGGAATTGTTAATCGGTGAGCCGAGTTCCAATTCCCGTTGGGTTCATTATATTCATTTACGCGCAAATACCCCTGGGAAAGGTATGAATGCACCTCTTCTCCACCCAGCTATATGTTAATTAGTATGTATCACTAAAATTATTATTATCTAAAACAAACAAAAAAATTACAATCTAAAATATTTCCTGACTTTAAATAATTTGCAATAAGCCGTAAAAATGAATGAATCAATTAAATGAAGAAGTTTATTGTGAGACTTATGAACGTCCTATTGTACTGGGAGGTACAGTGAAGTAATGGAGAGCGTCTCGGATTTAGGAAGCGGAGTTCGAATTACTGTCGAATCCATTACATTCGCTTACGTGATAATACTCCCAATACCCTTGGGAAAGGTATGAGTCCTCATCTTCTCCCCACCAGCTATGGGTAAATAGCAGGACAGACCAGGTTCTATAGCCTTGGATGGCAAACTATTGCTTCGTCAGTCATGTATCGAAAGATACATGATTGTCTAAGCGAAACCGACAGACTGTTGTACAAGAGATATATTTTCATTAATAAAACTTTCGATGATCGCCGGTAGACGTTTATTTCATTGCTTGCAAAATGTCTACTCAAATATATGCACCCTCTAAAGTAACGTTCATTGTATTAAGACAATTGTATAAACAATATTTGATGCATTTCAGACGTTAGCGTAAAACACCCTTACAGCATTAAATTTTGATAAGATATAAACATTTTGGTTACAGAAAATAATTTGAAGATAAATACAAGAGATATGGCAGTTGATATTTACTGTCAAATTAGCGGTTTACGCTATCTTGTGATAACATCCACAGGATATGTTAAACAAATGCAACAAAATTTTCATTCACTGTCATGATTTTGACGCAGTGGATTCCGAGGAGAATATGATTCAAATTTATATTTAAGGGTATTTGAACACGATATAAAGAGTCAAATTTCCAGCATTTCTTCTTCTTCTTCTTCTTCTTCTTCTTCTTCTTCTTCTATATGCCATCTCCCCTCAGGACGTTGGCGATATGTTACGAATGTAAACAGAGAAAAAGATGAAGAATATTAAGAAGGCAGTCAAAGTTCCATATATATATATATATATATATATATATATATATATATATATATATATATATATATATATATATATATATATATACAAAAGAGAAATGTTTAAGCCGGCGAAGAAATACATGAAAACTGATCAACAAACACAACTTAGAAGTCTACAGGTGGGATGTGGAGTAATTTTTCGGGTTAGTATTGTAGGCCGAGTTCGAATTCCAGTCAAATCCATTACGTTCACTTAAGCGCTAATATCCTTGGGAAAGGTATGAATCCTCATCTTCTCCCCCCACCTATGGGTAAATAGCATTTTTTAAATTGTTATTAGTTTCCGATCATCTTAAACATTTTGACTCTATCTTCTGATATGGAGATTAAAAATATTTTTGCTTTAAATCTTATTATCTACACTGCTAATTTTAAACTAAAATAGAATACGAAAAAAACTCCATTTAACGTGAATTACAGCATGTTTAAAAATGGAAGGATTTCGTTTTACCTGGATTTTGCTAGTCTTAAACCTGGTTCCAAGTGTTTTTCAGCGATGAGAAGTCTGGTGCGTAAAAAGCCTATCGCTCAAACAGCGGCGCCGAATCGTCCGTAACTCCACAGAACTAACATTTTATCGAAACAAATATTTTAAAGGTGCAATGAATATAGAGTATTAAATGCGAAGTGTTGAATGTTTGTCGGATATCGCATCATAGCAGCCTTCGGAGCCGGTAAGAATCAAGTGATATAATCAAGAATTAATTATTTTCATCGAAGAAAAGACAACATTGTTCTGTCGATGAGAAAATCGATAAAAGATCATTTTAATTTATCAATTTTGTATAAGAAACAAATGCATTATGAATGCAATCATTGTCTCTGATTAGAAAATCTGGCGTCACGATTTGTGTCGAATTGTTTTGTCATAAGTACCAAGATGATTCTTCCATGTATTCAGAATACATTCACACAGCACTTATATTCATACATGTCTTTAGATCTGAACCTCTCTATATATGTAATCGTAGACGTGACTACACGGATTTGGCTTAGTCTCTATCGTCTACTTTGTTACACTGTGACAAATGGTTGTGAGAATCAATTGAAAACATAAGACGTGATCCCTAAGAATTCATTGAATATGAACATCAAACACGAGCCTCGTGTATTATGGGTTCTTTCTTTTGCATTTCACCCAACTAAGGCGATAATGCCACTAAGATTCAAGGGGTTAATGGTCGGGGAGAGAGAATGAGGAGACATTAGTGATGAGAAAAAAGAACAATAAAAGAATAGGATTATGGATTAATTAATGCCGAAATCAAAATTTTTTTTTATTATTATTTTGAGAGATGATAATGGTGATACAAGTCTTAATAATTAACCTGCAGTTGGGGTGGAGAGAGGAGTCAATCCATACTTTTCCCAGGGGTATTAGCGCGTTTGCCTCGGGGTTCTTGATAGGCTCCAGAGGCGGATATGCAATATAATTGGCCCTGATCTGGCATCTCGTCTACAGTAACTTTCTCACAGACGCACCGTCGCCTCTCTCTGTCCGTTTTACAAATATTTTCATGGCAATTGCTCCGAGTAGCTGCATTCGCTGGTTCCCAGACTTCATGAGTTCAAGCGCCCTACGAGGCTGGCATACCGCTCTCACCCCTTCACTGTCAAAACTCCTAAATGTCGCCGTCTCTTCTACTCCAATAGCTTCATGTCTCGCACCTCTCGCCTGTGGAACTCCCTTCCCTATTCCAGTTTCCCTGAGAGCTATAATTTCCAGCTATTCAAATGTAATGTCAATCGACATCTCCAGTTGCCTTCTCATCCTTTCTTCTATCACTCCTATCTGATCTTGCTCCAAATTTTCTGTAACCCCTTGCGTTCTAGTGGCTTCCCGCCTTACTTGGAATGAAACGCTTAAAAAAAAATAAATATAATGAATCTAACTGGAATTGAAACTCGGTTCTCTGATTAAATATTCCGAGTAATTTATCCATTTCACTACCCGTACATCGACACTTACAGGGATCGGTATTCCCAAGAGGTCATCCATCTAGGCACTGTCCAGGCTCGGCGTTGCTTAACTTTGGTGATTGTGCGGGAGCCGGTG